ACCTGCTTTGACTGTAAAATGGCTGATTCCAGGAGAAGAATGGATAGCCCCTGGTCTTGGTTTATTTGTTTCGCCGCTTTTATAACTCTGACGTTCCATAATGGCAGTTACTATAGCTTTGGACTGTTTTTGCCATCTCTGCTGAAACATTTCAGACAGCCCATTGCGATAACTGGTAAGCGTTTGTTACAACCGGCTACAGTTTCTGAGCAGTGAACGCAGTAAACGTTTTAAGGAGCGAACTGAAACACTGATTTTGTTGATTATTCCGGCTCACTGTGTTATTAAAAGCCACCCACTAGAAACAATTTCTATTCCACAAATAATACTTGTAAGGCGAGCGAAGGTTAATCCAATAGGTAGTTCATGAATATTCTTCGCTTCAAGCAAACCACGCAAAACAATTTCCATTCTACAAGCACTAAGAACGCGCTAATTGTTATAATTGTAAAGGAGAAATGGAAGCCGTTAACCAGTGCGTGCAATAAACATTGGCTTGTTCTGCATGTAAGCCAACTACACTACTATTACACACCGTTCTAAGTAAAATAATTTAGCCTAATAATTCAAGGGGTTCAATTTCAATATTATTCATAAATATACCGTAAAATTCCGAAAATAAGCCCCGGGGCTTATATTTTTCAAAGGCCCCTTTAGAGGGGCTTATTTTCGGAGGGGCTTATATTCGGAGGGGCTTATCTACGGAGGGAAACTTGCGTTTCAAAATCGATTGGGCTAGCCTTATAGTTGGAAGTAAAGTTACCGTTTTTACTTTGTTTAACTTTGTATTTGAGTGAAAATTTCCAAGTACAAGCCCCCGGAGGGCTTATAGTTCGGAATTTTACGGTATTCGCTGTGGCTACAAACGGTAATAAATTATGCCAAACATGCCTTCGCCTCTTTCTACAATATTCCCTCTCCTTTTTTCGCTCGTTCTATTTTTCATGCTCTCTCCTCTATCCAACGCCTAGAAAAGTCTAGTCTTAAACAGATTTAAAAATATTGGAAGGATCAATGGTTTGAAATGATGCTGGCCACTAAGGCCCAATACGTTTATGATTTGTGCTTCTGCCTTGCTATTCTTATTGTAATTGGGTTCAGGACGACTTTAATTCAGACGTTTGGATCATATTTATACATTTTCGAAAACAGCTTCATTCTCAAAATTTACTGGAAATTAGGTCATAAGCTCAATGTTTGGATCAGTCATGTGCCAGAATCGTGTATCGCGGCAGACGTTGTCGAACTTGATTGCTCTGCCCGAACCAAATTCAAAACTTTGATTCATACGTCGGGCTCTGCCGTGCTTTTGTCGAACAGAATAGACCCTATATCCACGGTTTTTTTCAAATTTTGATTGGGACCAGAAAAAAAATGCGTTCACACAGCTAAAAAGAACGCCTTAATAAGGGATGTTAAGGTTGAAAGTGATTAACGCAAAGTCACAAAGTCGTCGAATTTTACAGAATTATATATCTACCTAATATGAAAACCGGGTTAGCAAACATTTTGTAATTTCTCTTATCTTCCCCTGCCTAATAGCTTCTTTACTGAGTTGTTTGCTGATGTCTTTTTTTGTTCGTTTTGTGGTTAGCGATTTGTCTAGAAGTGGCTGTAGAAAGAATTTCGCGAATTTCTATCTCCCCCAACCCCCAACCCCTTCACTCCCTCGCCGCTCTGTTTTTTTCTGATCCCGCCCACAATTCTCTATTCAATACAAGTGACAGTTATTTGAAATCAGTGCGAGGCTAAAGCTGTCTTCGGTGCCGTTTAGCAGTTAACATTTCGTTATTGGTCACCTTGAGAAATTAAATTTTCCCGGAAAGCATCATGTAAAGCTCTGAGATGGGACGAAGTTATTACGATTCGCAGAGTCTGCATTGTTCTGCATTGTTCGCTTTTCTAAGATGACGGCTACGTCTTTGGCCTCGGGAACAGGCTCTTGGGAGTCAAATGAATAAGGCGAGAGCAACATTGCAGATGAACTTTGACCCAGTGTTTTTTTCTGGTATGAAGACAAGGTCTATGCTGGTCTGCCTACCGTGTGATTGTACATCCGGGAACTTGAATGAGACGAGTGTAAGAGAAAGCACCCTGGCTTGCACTCTGGAATCTACGCGATGGGCTTCCCCCTTTTATACATAACAAATACACGGAAATGACATATTTTTCTTTTAAAAAGGCTTACCCACCCTAATTGCCGGGGTCATTTTCATTTTCTTCACTTTATTTATTTTCAAACAGTATTCTCCGTATTGTCTTCCAGACCTGACGTCAGCACTTACTTTCAAATTGAAACTCCTAGGTACTCGAAAATCAGTTGCCCCTAAATGTTTAATTTTGCGCCAAATCGAAACACAACGTAAATGTCTGGGACTCCCTTTCCTACCCTACTGAGTTTATTTACCCCTACCCCAGGGGAAGTACTAACGTGATAACAAAACTTTATAGCATCGATAGGTTTTTATTTGCCGTAGCTATGGGGCTTCGCTGTGAGTGCGCGGACACTCCGAAATAAGACTTAAGGCCGGCAGAGCAGAAGCACGACGTATGAACTAGACCTTTAATTTTCGTGAGGTTAAGGAGCATTTGAAGTTACTTGACTCACAGGTACGGATTCCGCTAGGACTTAATGCTTGACAGCATTCCTAACTTTTATCCCCTCTTTTTTAAACAGAAAGACTCATGTTAATTCCCTAGAAGTATTTCATCTCTTAACGAACTGCCCAGCGATACTGACAAAGTAGGCTAGTGTGCAGTGGAAATAATGTAGAAATTCTATAAAAACGGCTAGCCAGATCGTAGAAAAACGGTGAGTTTTTCCATAGAAATTTTAGTAAACGTTCGGAATGTAGAACATGTAGCCTTAACGAGATCCGCGGCAGTGAGTCAAACCAAAGTGACCATGTTAGTCTCACGAAAGCAGTTAGCTTTATCGTAAAACAGGGCGCAACTAACCCATGAAACAGTTCATTCTACACAGTCTTTAAGGCACTAACGACTCGCCAGGATTTTTGGACCATTTGATAATTAACCAGCCTGATGCAACGTTTCGGATTTAGTGGGTGACTTATAACCAGGTGCAAATTTTGTGCAAGCTCGTTTTTAGCAAGCCTTTTACTGGCTGTTTAACATCGTTGAAGTAATCAGAGCTCTGATTATTGACTTTACTTCTGTTTTGATATTTTTTAGCTTGGATCGGTTCACTCTACATGTCACTCCCGTGGATTTTTGGACCATTGGTAACCCGCCTGATAAAACGTTTCGGATTTAGAATGACAGCCATTAGTGGCTGTCTTATAATGTCGATCAGCTTTTGTGTAAGCTCGTTTGTGGACAATTTTTGGTTTTTCCTTGTTTTATTCTCTGTAACTGGAGGACTGGGTTCAGCAATGTCCTACCACTGCAGTGTTCTAGTTGTTCTGAGGCACTTTGTGAAGTGGCGTTCTCTTGCTGTTGGAATAACGGCGTCGTCATCAAGTGTAGGCATGTTCGTGGTGACACAAATCACAGAGGTTCTCATTTCAAATTATGGATTTAAAAATGCCCTTAGAGGGTGGGCCATCTTGTTTTTGTTGGCAACCCCACTGGCGTTCTCTTACGACGCAAAATCGGATGTTACCGTAGCTAACGTCAAAAGAATTGAAGAAGGATCCGAAAAAAATGTCGAGGTCATTCCTGCACCAAGCCTTTTACGAAATGGACGTTTCATCATCTATCTTGTCTCCGTTACTCCGGTGTTCTTTGTCGTGTTTACGCTGTCAATTTTCCTAGTGAGTTGTGATTTAACTTTATTGAATATTTTTTATACAAATAACACAATCATTAATCCTTTCTCTAAACAATCACCTAGAATATGGTTCTTGGTCCCCACCCCGCAATATAAAGGGGACTACAGGAACTCAAGGAGTAAGAGATAATTGCCGGCGTCATATCCCTGTAAGCTTTGTAATAATTGCCCTAATATTCTCTAACCCTTTTACCCCGTTACCCTTACATCACGGCCTGAAAACTTTTTATAAAACTGCAACGTTAAGGCTACTTAAGTTAGAAAACATTTTGTTACCAGAGAACACTGGCACTTAGGGTTGGAAGGTGTAGGGTGGGAATAAGCCAAGCCCTAACTTACATTGACTATATTGACCGCTATCGCTAGTTCAATATCTGAGATTTCGGCCTGTAACGATCTCACTCTCGGTTAATAAGTGGTATATAATCGCCAGTTACTGAAAAATTTGGTTGTTTTTGCCCTTGTAGGTGAAATTTTGTGAAAGTGAACTTGGCATTTCGACAGAACGAGGCTCCATGCTATACACCTACATGGCGATCTCTTACTTCTTTGGCAACCACTTGTTCTGCAAGCTAAGTGAATTCAAATTCATCAACATCTTTGATCTTTATCAATTTTCAACGACATGTCTCGGCGTCTGCTTGTTTCTGTTACCCGTGGCAACATCTTACAAATTTGTGGTGGTGTTATCTGTTATGTTTGGTCTCATGGATGGTGGACGATACGGCTTAATGCCACTGATAGTGTTAACATGTGTCGGACAGAAGAGAATTGACCAAGCGTGGGGCTATCTTACTCTTTTTGTCGGTCTTTCTGGCGTCATAGGTCCAGTTTTTATAGGTGAGTTATATTTCGTTCAAGAGTTTACTAATAAGCAAAACTCACCTTGTAACTGCGTCCGCACGTGCAAGGACAGACCTTCTTTCCGTAAGGTTTTCACTATACAACAACGGCAGCAACCGATAGCTAATATATGAGGACAGTTTTTGAATACAATTTCTTAACGCACCCGCAAAATTTGTCTTCTTATGCAAAAAAACTATCTATGATAACAGAGCAGTGAAACGCCGACGCTGCTTAGATTCCAAACACTTTTGAACACCGCGACCACTTTTTTGGGCCTGACGATTAATGATTTTCCAGGTTTTAACCTTTTGTAAGCGACCACTTGTCGCTTTCTCTAATCTCTATTTGCGCTGTGTTAGAAGGTCGAAGAACCTTAGCGACAACATGGAACAACACATATCCTAACTTAGGCATTGCATGCAATAAATTATCTTTCGTAAAGTAGATGTGCCTGGACCTCTTCTCAGAAGAGATCCGTTGTGGTTCGATTCTTGTAAATGACCACTTCCCGTAAGCGACCACTCAGACTTTGCATTTTGGGTGGTTGCTTACGGGAGGCCTAGACCGTTCTTACGTAAAGCACGTTCTCACTTAGCAACATTGACATAACTATAAGCACAAAAAAAAAACAGGTTCTGAAAGTTAATAGAGAGCTTTAGATTCTAAGACGAGTATGACAACGAGTACGAGATTTTCTCAATACTACGTAGTGTAAGCGCGTAAGCCAGCGTCATTCTGGCGGGAAAACGTGGTAGCCGTCGTCACTCTATTACGAGTTTTAGCGAGAATGTGGAAGTGTCGGAAACAAGTTAACAAATGTTAGAAGTTTTATCATTTTGCGATCGGGAGAGGGTGTAACCTCCTCCACTAAAGGTATAACAGTGCTAACTTTTTTAGTGAAAAATGGTAAAATGAAGCTTTCCGGAGAGTCCATATTTTCAGAATACCGTATTTATTCGATTAACCGCCCTGGGTGCTTATTAAATTTTTGGACCTTGAGAGTGGGCACCTATTCGAGGTGGGCGTTTATTCGAGGCTGGGCGCTTATTGAAGTTTCACCATTTTCAGCAAGTGTAGTATGTTTATTTTGCAACAAAACAACAAATGGTAACAACAAAACGAGAAGATGTAACAATGCAAGGTTTCTGTAAAATACTCTGAAGAAATTAAAACTCCGTCTTCGGGGAAGTCTCTTATTAGTACTTGTTCAATTTTTTTGTGTGTGTGTGGGAGGAGGAAGCGGGGTAGGGGTGGGCGCTTATTTTAGTTTGAGTGGAAAGGGGAGGGCTGTGAGGTGGGGGTGGGCGCTTATTTGAGGCTGGGCGTTTATTAACGTTTTCTGCTTCTAGGATGGGTGCTTATTCGAGATGGGCGCTAATTCGAGGTTGGGCGCTTATTGGAATAAATACGGTATACGAAAAAACTTAAAGTCAAATCTCGTACTCCTAGTCGTCCTCTTCCTTGAATCTAACGGTCTCTAACATTTCCAAACTCTCCGACAGGTTTCATAGCTGACACTGCCGACGAGTACGGACCTGCCTTTTACACTTCTGGGGGAATCATGGTTTTCGGATCAACTGTTGTATTCCTTAACAGGTTTTTGAAGAAAGAGAATTTAGTTGAAGAAGCGCATGAAGAGAAACACAAGTTTTTGGAATTCTTCATTCAAGAAAAAGAAACCGTACTATAGTTAAACTGAGACTAAAATGGTTTAACTATGCAATAGAGAAACAGAGCTACAAAAGCAGCAGATTAAATAATTAGAACATGACATTTTAAATATATAGACTGCAAAACAGTCCGTATTTTTGCGTATTCAAGTACGCAAAACGAGCAGTCAAACAAAAGGTCTGGAACGTGAGGCTCGTGCGCTTTGTGCCCGTAAGACTCTTACGACACGTTTTACCGATTTCTTTACTGATTTTGAGAAAAAAACCGACTGTTTTGCAGTCTATTTTAAATATAACATTTTACTTAATTATATTTTAAAGCACTCCCACATAGAGTATATAAACCCTAAATATGCACTTTTTGACGTTGGTCCACTTGTTTTCTTATTTCAGACCACTTGATGTTACTGAAAAGAACTAGTTTTTCAAACTGTTTTTACAGAACTTTGCTGCTCGAATTGCGACAGTACGCGCAAATATGATCACATTACACCAATTTTAAAAGAGCTTAAATGGCTACCAGTAGCAACTCAGTTATACTTTATTAACGCTATCATGGCCTTTAAATGCCTTACTTCTCGCTATCCCGCGTGCTGGAGTACCTTTTCTCCCAGTTCATTAAGCGAGGAGAAATAAGCGGACGTGCCACGAGAAGTTCGCAGATGCTGAACATTCCACTTTTTAAGTCTGCTAGTGGTCAGACGTTTTATTATAGAATAGTCAGTATCTGGAACTCCATGGATAGCCATCTTAAATGTTTTGAATCAGTATCTGCCTTGAAGTTCAATCTGATACGTAAACTGGTCAAGGATTTTATAGATTCGTGAGTTTTTATCATGTCATTTAAATTTTAGTGTGAATATTTTTATTACAGTTTTTAAGTACAAGTTTTTCATTTAATCAATACATTATACTCCTGACAAATATTATTGTAAATATTTTAAGCGTCCTTGAAGTAGGTTTTTTATTGTGGTAAATTTTTATCTTTTTAGTTGTATGTAATTAATTGAATTATTGTCTTTGAAAAGCCTCCATGAGGAAAGCCAATAAAGTATGTATGTATGTAAAGCACACACTAGAAGTAGGTGTGTCGCAGAACCTCGCGCAGCTCGGGGGAAGAGGCACGTAAAAAGTTAGGGATGGGAGGGAGAGAAAAAATAGAGTGAATTGTGTAACAGGGGAGGGTGCTCTATGGAAATGTAACGTTATGTGTTTTGTACTGCCACAAGACAGTCTTTGCAAACGTAAACAAACGATGTTCAATCCATGAGATTCACCTAAAGCTATTGAAGTAATCAGGGCACTAATTTTACTTCTATTCTGATTTTTCAGCTTGGATTGGTTCACTCTACATTGCACTCTCCCATATTTTTGGATCATTGGCAACTCGCCTGATTAAACGTTTTCGGATTTAGAATCATAGCCATAACTGGGTGTCTAATGATGTCGATCGGCTTTTGCGCAAGCTCGTTCACAGACAATTTTTGGCTTTTCTTTTTTATGTTCTCGGTAATTGGAGGATTAGGTTCAGCAATTTCCTACCCCTGCAGTGTTTTAGTTGTCTGAATCACTTTGAGAGGTGGCTCAGGCTCTTGCGGTTGGAATAACAACCTCGTCATCAAGGGTTGGCATGTTCATCGTCACACGAATCACCAATTCCCTTATTTCGGAAACCTTCTTGAAACAGTCACCTGTTGGTCCCCTGCCAGCCCTTGGCCGGGGTCCCCACCGTTCATCTTGGATTTCAGTAAAGCGTTCGACAGCGTTAATCATGATCTTTACGGAAGGAAGCTTTCAGTTAAGGTGAAGTGGACCACCTATTTAGCGCTTTAGTTTTACCGAATTTCACTTATGGTCTGTCTGTTTATGGCGCCGGCTGTAGACTCAGATCTCACGGTCATACCAAATAGAAACTTTAAAAGGAAATACACATCTAAGAGAATGGACATTCGAGAACTTCTAGGAAAGGCAGATAAGAAGCTTTTCAAGGTACGTTCAGTGGATCCCGATTGCCCGCTTACTAACATCATTCCGAAGAAGAAAGAAACAAAGTATTAACTCAGAAACAAAAGTGCTCATCGCTCGCGGAGATAAAGACCGATAGATTTAAGAATGTTTATGTAAACAGGTTTATTTTTAGGTATAATCTTTGATCTTTCTGTAGCCTGCGAGCAAGCTCTCCTATTTGGGCAAGCGAAGTGAGCCTCGCGAGAACTCGCGAGCGAGGGGCCGAGGAAAGGAGAGAGCTCTCCTTTCCCCTGCCCCTCGCGGCTTTGCCGCTCGCTCGCGCGTTCTCGCGAGACTCACTTCACTCGCTCAAATAGGAGAGCTTGCTCGCAGGCTAATCTTTCTGTTATTTGTATACAGTATGTCTTATGTAAATTTAGACTTCCAACTGCTGATGTAACTTGAATGTCTTTTTATGTTAGGAGGAATAAAGATTGATTAATTGATTGATTGATTGACTGATTGGCAAGCTACCAATGTTCAAGAAAAAGTGAACTGCGTAGAGAACTGGTCCAGGGAAAGTAAGTTTCCGTTTAACAGTGACAATTTTAGGGAATTACGTACTATATCTTTCGCTTAGAACAAAGTAGGGTTTAAACCAACCGTGGTGGTAGATGGCAATATCCTTGAAGTTGTACGTAGCACATCGTAAGTTATTTGGAGTCACTATCAGATCAGTAGCAACCTTTCATTAAGTATCCGAAATAGAACTTGGTAACCTTTCGCAAACGAGTGCAATATGCACGACAGCCTCTCGTCCTCTCTAACGTGTTTTCTGTTTGATAAATTATGCGATTATACCGTGCAAAAATTTGCGGTCGGCAGTTCGAATAGGGACTTGGAACATAAACAGATCAAGAAAGAAGCGCGTTAAAGTTGAAAATTATCTTAAGGTTGTTGGCTTAGTTTGATCCAGTTTCGTAGCTCGGATTTAATGTAACACGAGCTAGTGCCTATCGTGTCTACAAGTGAGTTTGGAGAAAGATGGCAGTTCATTTATCCCTTTTACTCATTTGTGTTTTTAAGCAATCTTTAGCAACAAATGGTTAGGAAATGGATATTTTACTGTACCGGGAAAAATCTTCAGTGTTTTCAGATGTTTTGCGACAAATGGCAGCAACTAGGAAACTCTACGGGAATACTCTAACTGGAAATACCGCTGTGGGATCATCTGACAAATTTCGGATCCACTGTGAATGGAACAGCGTAGATCACTAATCCGTTAATCTGGATTCGGATTCTTTGGATTTCAAATCCAATGAATCCTTTTTCAAAAAGGATTCACCAGATCAAAAATCCGGATTTCGATTTGCCGAAAGGAACGCGAAATCCGTTTTAAGATCTAAATTCCGTTTTTGGATTCACCGAAAGGAAAACACCCTAAGAAAGCATCTACCGCATGCACTTGTCTTTTTTTCCAAAGGCCAGTCTACTGAGGTTTTATACCAAGCCCCGGTTGTTAAAACGATGGATTGCTTTATCCACCGGATGAATCACTATTCAGGGGTTCGGCACATGTGAAGTTCGACGTATGAATCGAAGTCGATCTTTCGCCGTCCTATTCGACAAACTCAGTCGAATAGAACGGCAGAGTCGACCCAAATACAAAAGTGCCGTTCCTGAATTGATTCATACGTCGAACTTAACATGTGCCGAACCTAATTATTAAACTTCGACGTTTGAACCGTCCCTCCCCACAGGGACAAAATAAGAGCTCTCCTAAAAATGCCTGTTTGGGAGGCTATTGGTCACGGGGTTATGCCAAAGGAGGGTTTGACTGTTCTTTCACCTGTCACGTTAATTATATAACCCGCACCGCTTTCACTTGGGCGTAAACATTGTCTTAGGATGAAAGTTTCTGCTGAACAGAACCTCTTTGTGGATGTTGAACATCGATCCCACTGGACAACATTTGTTTGGAAGGAAAATAATCCAAACGGCTCGGGCAAAAGAAATCAGGATCACCTTTGATTATGAATGCAGACCTGTGAATTATAGATTTGTAAATATTGAATGTTGCTACCCTTTTGGTTGTCAATAATCGGGTGGCGACCTAAGAACGTCTCATTAGATGACTGTCAATATTATGGCTGATTCGAGGAGAAGAATGGATAGTCCCTGGTCTTGGTTTATTTGTTTCGCCGCTTTTACAACTCTGACGTTCCATAATGGCAGCTACTATAGCTTTGGACTGTTTTTGCCATCTCTGCTGAAACATTTCAGGCAGCCCATTGCGATAACTGGTAAGCGTTTGTTACAACCGGCTACAGGTTCTGAGCAGTAAACGCAGTAATTTTTTAAGGAGCGAACTGAAACACTGATTTATTTGATTATTCCGGCTCACTTTGTAATTAAAAGCCACCCACTAGAAACAATTTCTATTCCACAAATAATACTTGTAACGCGAGCAAAGGTTAAAGCAGTAAGCAGTTCATGAATATTCCTCGCTTCAAGCAAACCACGGAAAACAATTTCCATTCTGACCTACATGTACAAGCACTAAGAACGCGCTAATTGTCATAACTGTAAAGAAGAAAAGGAAGCCGATGACCAATATGTTTAACCAGTGTGTGCAATAAACAATGGCTTGTTCTGTAAGCCAACTGCGCTACTATTACACACCGTTCTCAGTCAAATAATTTAGCCTAATAATTCAAGGGGTTCAATTTCAATATTATTCGTAAATGTATTCGCTCTGGCTACAAACTGTAATAAATTATGCCCGACATGCCTTCGCCTCTTTCTACAATATTCCCTCTCCTTTTTCTGCCCGCTCTATTTTTCATGCTCTCTCCTCTATCTAAACGCCTGGAAAAGTCTAGTGTTAAACAGATTAAAAAACATTGGAGCGATCAATGGTTTGAAATGATGCTGGCCACTAAGGCCCAACGCGTTTTTTGAAGGGGACTAGCTGAAGCCTTTCAACAAAACCAATACAACTTCTTTGACTCAGAACTTTTATTCACTTGCTGCTTGTGAGTTACAATTCTCTGCTAAATCAGTGTTACACCCA